GGACAAGAATGCCTTTCTAATTGAAGTATCGCTGTATCATAGAGCACTTCTTACTAATATAGAACTAACATCTATAAATTGGGGAGTACTTCGTCTTCTAGGCCGCCGCCGTTAGTGCTTAGCGGGCCAACGTGTCTAACCGACGGACTAAAGCGAAACAAGGTCCCACCCTTGACAAGAATATAGTAGCATTGGATTCCAGATAACCATCCGCATTTTGAACAGTAGTCTTATTATACTTGAGTACTAACAAGATCCCAGAAGTTTGTACGTGAGGCCGGGTGATCGAGGTGGCCCATACCTATTGCCGTCTCACGTTCCTCGCACTGATGCTGGCGGCGACGGTCCTGATCTTCGGGGCGGCCATCTTGGCGTATTTCCTGATTTCGGCCCACAAGAAATGACGACGGGGGGCGCTGGCGGGATTCCTGATTTGTCTGCATTTCTCTGAGGTTGGGGCGGGTTGAGTTACCCGCCGGCGATGATGGATGGGGATTGATCTTATGCCGTGGGACTTGGGCGTTGAGGCGTTGGGGGTCGACGAGCCGGACACTTTATATCTTTCTGGCTGTTATTTCTGTTTTCTCGTCCATGTTCCTTGTTGGCCGGACAGACTCATAAATCGTAATAGAGAGATTGAAGCAATCCAGTTATCGTTGTAATGGCACATCGCCGTCTGACTAAAAGGTCTTCGTCCTGGATCACCCTGTTCATGTAATTGACGCCCTTGGTTGATAACGGACTCCATATGACACTCACGCACTACTAAGTGCGCCAAAATCCCTCCCCTGGAGATGCGAGCCGGCAAAGACCACATCAATGGCCGAAGCCGAGTGCACGAGAAACACTGAGAGGTGCCATCGATAGAAACACAATATGTACCACAGAATCTGCTGAACAAGCCTCCCTATCGACCAAGAGTGCCACTGGCAGCACTGAATTGGAACTTATTTGCGGCTAAGTACTATTATATAGTCATACCCGTACAACACTCTATCACTCTAGCACTCACTCCGGCTACATGGTAGATGGTAGGAAATATACGGTCTACATATCCGACACAATGCTGAGAGGACGTAAACCAATTAGGAGAAACCGCCCTGTTATGAAGCATTACTCTTCTTGAGAGGGCCCCTTTTGATCCTTGACAAGCATGGGAACGAGATCGACTCCCGTGTCGCTCTCCCCAAGGCAGCAGGAAGAGGTGATTTCCCCAATGGGATTTGGACCAACTCCCTGAAAGGTTGAGGGCAACGCCGCTGGCAATGCAAGGGCTTTCGGAGATGACTGACCTCGACATAGGCATAGTCTATCCTCCTTCATCAAACTATATAGCGACGCAAGTTTCCGACTATTACGTCAGTAATAGGGCGCCACGGGTTCACAACATTGAAAAAAGAAAAGCACAGTTTCTGAATATTCCCACCAAGCTCTTAGGCATTCCAGTGACCGAACACATAGGACCACAACAATCAAAGGTAAAAGTACAAGCCATTCTCTCATACAATCAGCAGGTATAATGTATTCACTATCTATATTATCTAAACACGCCATTGTCATGGTAGTAAATACCAAGCGTTAGACCAGTATCAAAACTATAGTATAACAAGGATTATATCGTGTCCCTGGCGACCTGACGATGTACCGCCATGTACCTTTTTGTCCAGGTTTCCAAAATCAATAATGAATACTACTCGAATTTCTGTTCATTTGGAAAGGGGGGAAGAAAGGGGAGTAAGAGGGGCAGGGGTTGCCTTTTCTTTCAAGTCATCGTTGCTGGCCTGTTGTCTCCATTTTAGTATGAAATTAACCGGTGTACCTGTGCAATCCACGAGGGACTCAGTTGCGTTGGATTACTTGTGACGGAATATTTAATATCCTTCCAGATATCCAGGCGCTCCCAGGTAGACAGCTTGTCCTCAGCTCACCGATTGGTCGAACATTACTGAATGCAGGCAAGAAGTTGTCTCTGTGCTAGTTGATTACGGCTTTCGTTGTCTAATACCTCCGTGGTCCTTTAAGGTTTAGACTTAAACAGATATTGTACGTGGTTAATTTGTAAAGAAAAGTCTACCAATCATCAACTAAAAGGTTCTTATCTTCAGCTCATGCCTATCAAATCTTTGCTATTGCCATCTACGATTCACACTTGTCGGCCGCGACGCAAACATGATGTCCCGCACACCTCCAGGCTTGTCATAAGGAAATGTCCGACCTGCTGCGCTCACCGTCAGTCTCCCAGTAGTCTAGGTAAGCTTTCATAGACAGAGCCCGCTCTCTTCCCAAAGTCTCCCCAATTCTACGCTGGACAAAACATGAAGCTCAATACGACAGTTTCTCATTCCTCTTTTGACTCTGGTCAATAACGGGTGGTAACCAGCGGTCTTGACGATGACAACACATTTATGCCAACTTTACCCTCGTTCTCGAGTACCACAGTGTTTCAGCATCTTGACGCCAACAATCAGCAGGGCTATCAAGCATGCTGATAGAGCCATGAGCCTTTCTCATCACCATGAAGCCCCCTTTCCGGCGTCTGAGTCACAGAATTATCTGGCTCTGGGTACTCGAGCGCACGCTCTCTACAGCGCGCCTGCGACTCGAAACCACAAGCCGAGGCAAACCCAAAGCCGTTCCTGTACTTCAACAGCAACACGCGTTGACCGGGCGCAACCACCTGCCACTGCAACTCGTGATCTCAACCCAAATTCCCAGTCTCTTCATCATTCGTCTAAAATGGTTTCAACTAAAAGCTGCGCCTCTTCCACAAGACGAGCGGGATGTCCAAACAACACAAGATGATTGAAGATATCAAAGCATCATTTCAACGGAGAATTCGCCAACATCAACCGCCAGCTGGCTGCATATCGCCATCTCAACACGGGAAGAGCATACAGAAGCAGTTGAACCTGATTAAGAAACCTGAATTCTCGCTCAGAATGAAGATCGAGCCCGGTGCAGCTTGCAAGAAGCTCGACGATGCTCGAAACGAGTTGTCTGCCCTTGTTGCAAATGGGTTTCCGGCCGCTGTCGCGATCTTTGGGGAAGTCTTGTCTTTCGAGAATCCACGAAAGCCGTTACTGGGTGAAGAGGCAGTCTCGTCGCATCTGTGTTGAGTTGAACGACACGAAGGATGCTTGGAAATTCATCAAGAAATACGAAGAGAACCCGGCGGCGTTTGTCCGGAACTTTCGTGCGGCAACACAGAAGTCAGTCTTATCGGCATCTGAATGTTCATGCCGGAACACTGGTCAAAATTTTCCCATTCCACAGGGCAATTGACACTCGAGCGTTTCCATTGTATTGCGCGGATTGTCCTGCTCCAGGGCATATGAAAGAATCGTGCAAGACACCGGATAAACCCTTCTGCGGGAGATGTTCTGGGCCACAAGATCGCGTAGCAACGCAAGAAAGATGGCGCGCATGCATTCAGGAGAACAGACCTAGTAGTCTTGCTCGTCATAAGGTATGGTCTGAAAAATGCCACGCTAAGGCTAGAGTAGACATGCTGGCCAACCGCGATGAGTACGCGGACATACTGCCAGGCTGGGTGAAGGCTGAGTGTTAAGGGACGGCAGTAACTTAACCCCGCACCGTCCCCTCGTAGGCTCCCTGTATTTCATCATCTATTCACAGGTACTACCATGGCGGAATATATCAACATGGAGAAAGTCGCGGAACAAGACACGACCGAGTCCCAGAGGCAGATCGTTGATGTCCTGCAAAAGCCTCTCCAGAGCGAAGACAACGCCAACCAGGATGCCTCGATACTGGTCGCCGACATCCAGAAAATAGCAGCCGCTCAGCCGTCGAGAGATGCCGCGTCAGGATTTCTCTAGGATCTTTGGATGGTCGTCGTAGACCTCGTATACCTCATTTCGCCGGACCGTCCCTGGCAAGAAACAGGGATGCACCACCGCACCGCCCAATACGCAGATTACGAGTCCTTCTCCGGCCTGAGCTTCCTGCAATATATACGTGCTTTCTGGGCATGACACTCGGGTACTTTTAGTTGTACCTGGCCAGACACGCCAACGCCCTATGGCTTTGTCTTTGTCGTCCGGCGATCTTCTCCCAATGTCATTCCTGCCACCTCTCCTGGTGTTACGGTTTCATTGGTATCGGCAAGGCCTCCGATTGGAGTGATGTGCTGGTAAGGGTCTCAGCCTAGTAGAGTTAAGAATGCAGTCAAATGACGCTGGTACTTGCTAGCGAGGCCTCCAATTAGAATGACTTGCTACTAAGAGTCTCAGCCGGTCTGGTGGGTTTAGAAATGCAGTGAAGCATGTAAACGGACATTAGTTAATCGTGCGTCGCTAAAGGCGGCTGCAGCAATCCCGCACCAACATGGATACCGTCCGGGGACAGTTGTTGCTAACCATGCGGTGTTGGTTCTCATAAACTGATCTCACGATGGTTCCGTAATCTAGTATAGATTCTTCTAATATCCTTATCCTGCAGCCGGAGATGGTATCTCACAACCAGCGCCGATGGTTTAGTGGTAAAATTCTCCGTTGCCATCAAGCAGCGTCGGGGAGCCGGGGGTTCGATTCCCCCTCGGCGCATTTCTTTTGCTTTTGCAGTTTCTGGCTCCCCCCGCGGTGAAATAGATGTCCTCCGGGGGGTCAGTCAATACGACGTGACGATGGCGGGGGGGGATTTGTCCCAGGCCAAGGAAATGGCTTTGTTAAAGATGCTTACTTCACCCGTTTGCTGCAGTTACCGTTGTCCCGGCCGGACCAATGCGTCTTTACTTGCTTACCTATCATCATCCCACGGCGAAAGTTGTCATATATAATCAACAGATTGATGTACGATGTACACTCGAATCCGCGATCAGTCGAGCATCCGGCTACCCGCCTGATCGCCCTCGGCCCGTAACAGCAGATCGACGTCGGTTTAAACAAGCAACATGGCTGGCCGTCAGGATGACAGCACAAGAAAGGAAAAGCTTCCCTCGGCATCTCTGGTCGCGCTAGTCCAGGGCCCGCCATGACGCATACGACTTGTCTCGGCCGTCCGGCCGGGTGCCCTGTTTTCAGGCGACGGAGAGCTGCCCGATTGGCGAGGTCCGGACGACGCACGAAGCCGACGTGTTCAGCGCTCTGCTAACCTAGCATGACTAGTAAGTGTGCCGGTCTCTTTTAGGAGCGCGGTGCGGTAATTGGACGCGGCGTACTAGGGACTGGGGATTTGCCCACAATGAATCAGTCTGTCACTCAGTAAAGTCACCGACCGGCCAGGGGAACCCCGAGACAACGCCGAGCGGGAAGTCTTCTTCGTCTTCGTCTCATCATAGTGGCGTAGCCGCGGTTAGTGCGTGAGTGACGGATGTGCAACACGGCTTGAGGACAAGCAACTCATTACAAATCCGACGTGACGTTTCACGTCTGACCAAAAGAGACGGTCAATCTATGACCGCTATCCTGCGGCAGGGAATCTCACGTAAGGAGTTACAAGGACCGGAAGAGTGGGATAGGTGGACCAGGTCCGTCGTCGATGCGTACTTGAAAAGAGCCAGCCCCTCGTCGCAGGCCGCCGCCCTCTGAGACATTTACACTTTTGAGAAAGCAATTGACTTTTTTTCCCACGTTTTTCAACGATTCGCCCACGGCATCTCGGGACCTGCTTTTCGTCCTTTGTTTTGACACATGGAAGTTTAAAAACTTCCCAGACATACCGATACACACCACGCACAGACATCCCCCCCGTCATGGCGCCCAGGAGAATCCCCGCCGAGGACGCGGACCCGTCGCCGCTCGCGGCGCCCCTCAAGTTCGAGTTCTCGGGCAAGACGGCCAAGAACCGGTTCATGAAGGCGGCCATGACGGAGAGGCTGTCGACGTGGGACGCGCAGCAGCGCGAGAAGCGCGGGGTGCCGACGCCGGAGCTCGTCAACGTGTACCGGCGGTGGGGCGAGGGCGGTTTCGGCGTCATCCTCACGGGCAACGTCATGCTCGACTACGACCAGCTCGAGGCGGCCGGCAACCCCATCATCCCGCCGGGGGCGCCCTTCGAGGGCGAGCGCTTCGAAGGGTTCCGCCGCGTCGCCGAGGCCGCCAAGAGCCACGGCAGCCTCGTCCACGCCCAGCTGAGCCATCCGGGCCGCCAGGTCGCCGCCCACATCAACCCGCACCCGGTCTCGGCGAGCGACGTGCAGCTCGAGGGCGAGGTGATGGGCATGACGTTCGGCAAGCCGCGGCCGCTGAGCAAGGACGACATCAAGCGCGTCGCCGACGACTTTGCCTACGCGGCAGAGTACGTCCACCGGGCGGGCTTTGACGGCATCGAGCTGCACGGCGCACAGTGAGTGACGCATAAGCACCCCCCCCCCCCCCCCCCCGTGAGATGATGGATATTATTTTCGAATAAGCAAAGACTGACAAAAAGCTTACTATTCCAGCGGCTACCTCCTCGCGCAGTTCCTCTCGCCGACGACGAACAAGCGCACCGACGAGTACGGCGGCTCGCTGGCCAACCGGGCGCGCATCATCCTCGAGATCGCGGACGCGGTGCGGGCGCGGGTGTCGGACGAGTCGTTCAGCATCGGCATCAAGGTCAACAGCGTCGAGTTCCAGGAGGGCGGGTTCAGCACCGACGACTGCCGCGGGCTGTGCGCGGCGCTCGAGGCGCACGGGTTCGACTTTGTCGAGCTGTCGGGCGGGACGTACCAGAGCCTGGCGTTCGCGCACCGGCGCGAGTCGACGCGGCGGCGCGAGGCCTTCTTCCTCGACTTCGCCGAGGCGGTGATCCCGGAGCTGAAGCGGACCAAGGCGTACGTCACGGGCGGGCTGCGCACGACGGCGGCCATGGTGGCGGCGCTCGGGACCGTCGACGGCGTCGGCCTGGCGAGGCCGGTGTGCAACGAGTTCGACCTGCCGCGGAAGCTGCTCTCGGGCGAGGCCAAGAGCGCTGTTGATGCGTTGCTGGACGAGGACGACTTTGGGATGACGAACCTGTTGGCTGGGACGCAGTGAGTCACACGCGTGTTGCCGAGTGAGAGATGGAACTGACGTTTTTGATAGGATGCGGCTCGTCGGCCAGGACAAGGAGCCTCTGGACGCCACCCAGGAGAAGTACAGGGAGGTGTTTGAGAAGTCGATGGCCAAGTGGTCGGAGGGGATGGCTGACAACGGCGACAACTCCAAGTACGGGTTCATCGACATCGAGGGCACGAAGCTGCAGCCGTACGGCACGCCGTACGCGGCGGCGGCGTGAGGGCACGAGGCGATTCTTCAGGCATATGGAGAGATATGACCAAGTCTCGTTTGACGAAGAGCAGGATCGTGTGCGTCCTAATAGATTTGAATGTCGGGTGAGAGTCAGTGTAATGGGAACCGGAGATAGGCATATGTGACAAGGACGATGCATCGATTTGTGTTCAACTTTTGAAGGTGTGTATATGCACTTTCTGCCGGTGACGATACACACCCAATCAATGAGAGAGTTCAAGACGAACCACTCCAGCTCATCCGATCATCCTGGTATGGCCAGTGATTGCCGGCATGGCCGGCCGCACGAATCCACTGGGGCGGAGAATGGAGGTAATGTAATATCAGCGCATTAGCACGGGACATGCCAAACCTTGTATCACGGGAGATGGGACAAACCCAATTGAGTTTATGGAAAAAGAGAGCAGTAACCAAGTATGAGGGAGTAAAAGTGAAAGTGAGAATGTGAGTATGAGTATAACTATGAGTATGAGTAGTCTTGCTCACAGTTTCTGACTTGCTCTCATTCTCTCACCCACTCTCACTCACTCGCTCACTCACTCTCACTTACTCTCACTCACTCTCATTTGCTCTCACTGACTCTCGCTCACTCACTCACTCACTCCCACACTCTCTCCCTCTCACCCACTCTCTCTCACTCTCTCACTCTCATATCCCCCCGCCGATCTCCGGGGACTCCACCCCCTGCTCCTCCCGCAGGGAGCTTCCAGGCGTCAGGCACTAAATCCGGCGCCTGCCGTCCCATCTCCCCTAAGCTCCAATCCCCCTCCCCCGCCATATCGTCATTTTCCGAGCTTCATCATCTCTTCTTCCTCTCGTCTTCCTCCCGCATGTCATCGTCGAAAGCTAGTCGCCTTTGCGTGACCCCCCGATCTCCCGACACATTGCGCATAGGTATTCGGCCTGCTTCTCTCTTTTCTCTCCATCTCAGTCTTTGGATCACGACAGCACCTCCACCACGACGGCACCACGACAGCACCTCCACCACCACCACCACCACCACCACCGCCAGCAATAGCGATGCCGTTGACGATACAACCCATTTGCTAGATTGATTAAATCCTTCCGCCCTCTCTCTTCTCCTCCATCTTCTTCTCCCTCTCGCTCTCCCTCATCATGTACGTCGCCCTCGTCCATCCAACCCATCGCCCATCACAGCTAACCGCCCAGGATCGAACCCTCGCTCCGCCTGCGCCGCGCCATCACCGCCGACGATGCCCTCCTCGTCAAGCGAATCCTCAAATCCCACCCGCGCCTTCTCCATAACCCCGACAGCTCCCCCGATGGCCTCTCCAACTCGAACCTCCACCTCGCCGCCTCCCTCGGTCACCTCCAAATCTGCCGCCTCCTGGTCCATCTCGGCCACGAGGATCCCGATCCCGCTCTCAACGAGCACCACCAGACCGCCCTGATGCTCGCCGCTGCCGCCGGTCACACCGAAGTCGTTCACTTCCTCTGCGAACGCGCCCCAGATGTCATCCTCCGCCGCGACATCCGCTGGCGTGACGCCATCATGGAGGCCAGCCGCGGCGGCCACGACACCGTCTTGCAGATCCTGCTGACCTACGTGCCCCACGGCGCCCAGGACGCCGTCCGCCGCACCGACCTCGACGGCAACACCGCCTTGCACTTCGCCAGCAGCAACGGCAACCTGCTCGTCCTCCGCACTCTCCTCGCCGCCGGTGCCGACCCCGAGCGCCGCAACGTCTGGAACTGGACCGCCATGTCCTACAGCGCCACCGTCCAGGCCGAGGTCTACCTCAAGGGCCTCGTCACCGAGGTCGAGCGCCGCAAGCTGGTCCGACACGAGGTCGAGCAGTTAAAGAACACGGCCAAGGGCGTCGCCACCGCAAATGCTGCCGGCGTCCGCGTCGTTGAACAAGACGTTGACGTCGACGACTGAGGGGACGATGCCCGACGAATGTATATACCAACACTGCAGGGAACATTTTTATTGGTGATGGCGACGAGTTTCGGAAACAGTATTACAATACCCGGCGATAGACGCGTTTTATTCCACCGTTTTAAAGCGCTTACAAGCATTTACGATAACCGCCGACACCATACAGTCTAGACAGGGCACGCAATCGACGTGCCGGGGGAGCTGGAAGCTCCAGACTCTGGACAACTGTGGACAGCCAAGCGGATGTCCGCTGCTTAACTGCCACCACCGCCAGACACGGCACCGGGTTCAATTGCCCTTGGATCGATCCACGAGCATACCCCGTTATCCACCATCAAAACAACCTAGACTACACCGCGACTACTCTGGGTGTCTTCCCCCCATGTGTTAGCTCGCCAAGGCGCTTTCCACGATCCCGTTGGAGACTGGTGGAGATAGAAAGTAGGACACGGAGCCAGGTTGATATGACAGGCGGTAATGGGCCGGGAGTAGACGACATTGGCCAACCAACCTGGCGGCCGAGCCGGAAGTGCCAAACTTGCTGGTGTTTATTGCATCGAGCTCGACAGGCTGGCAATACAGACGTTGCCGATCAGACACAGTTAGCCAATGGAAGATGGGCATCAACAAGCGGTGTGCCTTTTTGTCGATTGCATGGAGATCTGCCACATCCACATATTTTGTGTCTTCTGGGAGGCAGGGCTATGGTTGACAAGGGGCTCGAACGTCGACAGACGCGGATAAAGAGTTCGAATATCCTCTGGATGATCCACCGCACCCGTCTCTCGATCACCAGACACACAGCACACATGCGCCACAGATCTAGTCAAGTGAGTTGCACAATCAACTTACGCCAGCCAGCCACGTGGTGTACTCTACTTGAATGAGAGACGGAATCACGGACAATTTCTCACCCAGAAGTGCATGCATCAAATGAAGGCCAACATAAACACCAGAAGCACTGCGCCCGGTTCCAATCTTGCACCTCCTTTTTAAAAGTTCTCACTCTTGGAAACAACACGGCGTTGATTCATCATTGACGCCCCGCTGGGTCTCCCACTCATCCCAACTCAGATGCCACGACCATGACAAACATGCCGACGACTGGTATGACAATCACCGCAGTCACGCGGGCCATCGTCCCATGGTTCGACGGCAGTGAGTTTGCGTCAACCGTGTTCTCAACTCTGGTGGCCTCCAGTCACTGATTCACACCTGCGCTCGATACCACTATATATTGAATTCAGTTTGACCATGCTGGTCCTTTTTCTCCAGTCCATCTCGCATCATCACTTGCCGTCCAGGTTCTCAAGCAAAAGCTCACAAACAACTTCAATTCATCTTGATCATCCACCTGCACAGCAAACACCACTTGATCTCGTCTTCCTCATCTCCCGCAGACTCACCGTGGCTTCGTACGACTCCTCCCACGCGGAGGAACCGGAGTATCTACCGTACCCAGCAACCAAGCTCATCGTCGCCCAGTACTGGCACTGCTCGCAAGACCCTCCGTTCTGGGGCTACCTCATCGTCGGTACCTTTTACGATCGCCACAACAACGTCGTCTGGAGCACCGAGATCTTTGCCTTCCAGCCCGACACCCGCCACAGCCGGGACGCTCACTTGGACGCATCGTCCGAGTTGGGGGTTGGTGAGTCACTTGCCATCCGCACACCGTCATTCACTGCCAGTCAACAATGGAACCCTCCCTCGCCTTCGGCCGTATAAATAACCTTTTAGTCCTCCATTGCTAACCCTTTCCCAGCATCAGCCGAACCAACCATCGACAGAGACCTAGCAGATCGATTTGCTCACAGTCTCAACCTCGGCCAAAGCAACAGCAGTATTACAAGCGCAGCATACGGCCTATCACGCCCTTCACACTATCTCGACGCCACGCAACTCTGGGATCCGTCGCTCATAGGTCCCGCCCCCGGCCACTGGGTCACGCAATACGATCACCGAATCGGCAACTGGGTGAACACCTGGCAACCAGACCGGCCGTCTTACCCCTGAACGCTTAGCATCAACCGCCCGGTGTCTGTCTCGCTCACACTCCCCCAACCACCATGTCCAACCCAATTACCGGCCATGACGCGGACCCCCGCCGGCCCATCTTCAGCCCCACCAACGGCATGCCCATCCAGCGTTATGGCGACGCCTACATCCCGCACGGCGGATGGGCCGGCGCTTACGGAGGAGGCGCCGCCCCGGGCTACGGTAACTACTACCTCTACCAACCCAGCCCGTACTCTTACCCCGCCGCCGCCGCCGCCACCGCCGCCCCGGTGCCGTACCCGGGCTCGACGGCCTACACCTGGCCGAACTCGCAGCCCGGCACGTATGGCACCTACCCCCTCCAGCCGGGCGGCCAGGGATCTTACGCGGCGCGCGCGGCGCAGGGCCTCCCTGCGCTGGACCCGCGCAACCCGGCGGCACAGCTGAGCAACTCGACGGGCGGCACCGGCTGCGAGCCGGGCTACAACTACTTCTTCCCGGCGGCACACACCAAGATCCACGTCTTCCGCACGGCGCAGCCGCCGTGGCAGCTGCCGGCCAACGCGCGGGTGCCCTTCGCAGCCTTCCACGTGCCCGTCGGCACGACGCTGGCCGAGCTGCTGCGCGGCTTCGGCGCGAGCAACCCGAACCCGAAGAAGAACAAGTGCTTCGAGATCGTGCAGGCCGGCAACGGCCGGTGGTACAAGGGCCTGTGCTTCTCGGGCGACGACAAGGACATGATGAAGAAATGCGTCGCCGACGTCGGCTGGGACGCCGGGCGGACGGGCCTGCCGGGCCAGAAGCCGGTGGTGTGCGTGTGGCTCGTCAAGGATTGAGGTTGCGGCTTGGCTCTTTTCGCGTGGGTTTGAAAGTTTGGTAGTGCCTTTGGCAGTTCTTTAGTTATCTATCCATGGTGACGGGGTGTGGAAATTGGTTTCAAGACGGGTTTTCGTCGATGGCTATCGTTTTTGGTGTTTTGATGGGATCAAGGGTATCAAGTGCGCCGACGCCCGGGGCCATTGCCCCGTTTTCCCTTTTTACTATCCAGCGAACTATATTGAATATCAAGGTCTTGAGACATGATGGATCGCGTGAGAAAGCCCCGTCCCAGCCAACTTGTATCGCCACACTCACACCGAGTGATACGGCTTACCCGTCGTGGAGACCGCCGGCACCGCGCACGTCGTTCCGAGCGCCCCCGCTTCACCGCGTCCGCGCGGGTCCTCCGGAGCACAACAAGCACGCACACGTCACCGCCGGAGCCCGGGATGATTTGCGCCTTTATCCAGATATTCGAGTCCCTCAACGTCCCTGGAGAGCTTCTATGGGGGGGGAGGCCGAGTGTGCGACGCCTGCGCTGGCGTGCGCGTCTTCGCTCGCGGATGGCCTCGTGCTCTCGGCACATGGAAAGCGCTGCCGTCAGTGAGACGCGAACGATCCTTTGCCATCAGATGGGGACGGAGGCAGCGAGAGCGCGTTATCGTTGGACGTAGCCATCCGTGAAACGAAGCAAGTTGGAATCCTTCAAGGATCGGAAAAGGGGGCCTTCGTCGCCAAAGATGCCCAGGTGCTGGAGACGCACATCCCTTTATACAGGGCTGGGCATGGGGCTCGGTATGTTGCACGCGTTCCAAGTGTCAAGAGTGGCGCAACCAAAGACAAGCCTCATGAACGGCAGTATAGTTGCGCTGAGGCACGTATTCGAGGCGGTCCCTCTCAAGGTTGAAAAGGTCCATAATGATACCTACTCCAATACAGTCGGATAAGCACGGTATATTCAACATCCTTCCCAGTACTCAACAGCATGATAGACAGAATCACAGTACCGTGGAGCATGTTACTTATCAATCGAGGATGCTATAGCTCCCGGAGGTGACTCGCTTCCAGCTTCTATACCTACTGCATATTTCTGTAACTGCTTTCCACCTGTTCAACACCTCGAGATACCTATGATGACGGAATGTAGAACTCCACGACGCAGCTCACTATATAGCAGCTCGAAACAACACACGTGGTACAAGAATAGATGGTACACCGTACGTGCGCCACAAGCGTCAGGAACTGACCGCTGCGCGGTCGTGACACCGGCAGGGGTGCGAATGCATGCTCGAGAAGGGAACTCCGCGTATCAGCAAGATACCAACCCGGTTAGAGATGCACGCATGCAGCTAGCTTATCGGTCCCACCACCCCTCGTCGCTTGCGGGAGCCTCTCCCGGGCGGGCTAGGCCAACCTGTCGGGCCGAATCCGACGACGTCGCCGACATAACGCCATGCCGGCGTGCCAGGCGAAAGCTGGTGCGGATACCGTGCGGGCTAAGTGACGTCTGACACGCTTTTTCTAGGCTAACAGCAAGGAGAAAAGCGGTTACCGAAATACAGCTTGGCGTGCTGGCGGAAGTACTCGATAGGCCAGCTCAGACTCAAGTAGAAGGCGTGTTTACTTGTGTATGCAGCATCTAGCAATATGGAGCCCACCTATACGGTACGATTACGTTAATCAATGGAGCACAGTTGGTCATCTGGACAGACTAGAAGAGGCCACGACAGACTCGACTCTCCCATAGGCTCGCAAAGGAGGCAGCCCAGATAATAGGCGAACCGAGTTTTTCTCCACGATTTTCAACTTGATCCGTTTCTCTGGCCGTCTTCGGGATATGGCGTGTCATCGTTGGCTCTCGAGACGGCATCATGTTGGCGAATTGTCCAGCAACAGCATTGCATGGCTGGCCGCCCATTTGTTATACGAATCCAAGGTAGATCAGCCGTGGAGAGCACAGTCTTCCGTAAGATGTTCATGATAGGCTAGACAACTGCAGGTTTGAAACGAAGGGTGGTTTTCAGGTTACCGTCAGTGATTTGCCTCGCAGATGAGCATGATGCTTTTTGCCAAGCGCTCTCAACACTTGAAGGCACGAGATACGTTTCTCGGTGTCTTTCGTTGGAACCATCGGCCTAAAGTACCTCGAGCTCGTGATCAGGATCTCGGGATTGTATAAGGGCCTTTTGACACTTCAAGCATGGCACATGTCACGGGCTGGATTGCGTTTCGATTTGTTATGGAGTCATGATATTTCATACTGTGCTAAGCCGCAGCCTCTTTTAAAAAAGAGTAATGTAGTTCACCTATCTAGAAACTACCCATGAGGCGAAGTTGGGCAGGACATCAACAGGAAGTCGTCAGTACATGTCATAAGACACATCTGGTATCAGCCCCGCGAAGTATTTCACAACTTTGCGACAAATCATGAATTTGAACCATCTGTAAAAGAAAACCAACAAATGATGAACCAATCCCAGAAACCGCGAATGCCAATGCCGCTATGGTTTACTTCCTATCCGGGTCCAGTCCGCCGTCAATGGCTGCCAGATCCCCCGCATCCACATCCGTACTAGCAGGCGCTTCTGGCACCAGTCGAATCAGGAACACCATGCAAGGAACGGACAAGACCAGCAGAGCGGCGTTAATGTAGAATGGAATCCTGGGGTCGGCGCCACTCGTGGAGTTGATGGCGTACGAGACGGCCTGGCCGCCGGTCTCGAAGGCCCGAAACAAACCGCCCGTGCGGGAAGAAGACCCGACATCCGTGGAAAAGGTTGACATGATCCAGTACAGAGACATCTGACACAGGTAGCTCGTCGAGAACATGATGAGATAGGGAAGATAGGCCTCGGCCCACCGCCCGCTGTGTCTTTCCAAGGGGCAAGAATGTCAGCGTGTACTCGCGAAACATGGGGCTTGGCACAACCTACAGTTCATAGTCGAGGCCCTCCTTCGACTTTCCCCTACCGAACTTGCTGTATTCAACGCCCATCCAAATGAAGCTGGCCGCCTGGGGAACCGCCCAGAGGACGAAAGCGATCCATGCTCGCTTGGTCTGCGACCACCGGGTCCTGTCTAAAAGCTTTCCGAAGGCGAGGGCTATGATGATGGACAGGGTTGCTAAGTGCGGCGTGTTAGATTCCAAGGTTGCTTCCAGGCCAGGTGAGTGCACATACGGGTGAGCAACGACGACAACGCGCGCGCCCGGACCGAAAAGTGCAACGACAGATACGTGCCCAGGGTTCCACCGCAGAAGAAGGAGTAGAAGGCGGGTATGGACATGAGCCACGTCTGGAGTTGGTTGTCAGCCAGGGAAGCCGATTCTGAATATACAGAGAGATATGCACACCTTCTTGCGCTGCAGGTGCCTCCAAAGGGCGACGAACTCTGCCTTCCAACTGATGTCGCCACTCTGAGGGATTTTGTCGCCGTTCTTACGCCGGACGCGTCTGGTGGGACTCAACAGGGCAGCCCAGATCACTCCGGTGCATTCTGTGTGCCTCCTCAGTCAGAGATATCCATTGAACCGGATACAATGCAGGGATTCTCACCAAAGCTAACAAAGATGAGGTAGGTAGACCACGCAACGCCTCCTGAGCTTGATCTGGAGGAGTTGTTGGAGAAGTTGATTGCCCCTCCCAAGACGCTGCCCGAGTTCCGCATGGAGGACCATATACCTGTTGCCCCGTTACTATCGGCTGTTCCGCACCCATCGAGGGATTCTTACCCAGATAGAAGCCTCTGTTGTTTGCGTCCGGATACGACAACATGGCAGCAGTCTCGGCCACGTACAGAAACCCGTTGGCGAACCCGCCAACCAGCTGTATGGGAATGTCAGCATTCACGAGGAATCCGGGTGCGTCGTGGACAAGAGCGTACCCTCGCGAGCAGGAGATACCAGTCTACGTGATACTTTGCGCTGACGTAGTAAGCCGAGCCGGCCAGAGGCATCGCCACGGCCGCGATCATGCAGGACCATTTGATGCCGAACTTGTTGATCAAGGGTCCGCCAAAGATGGTAAGCAGGCACCCTGATGAATAGGCAAGCGCCGTCGCCAAGTTCGCCAGGTACGGAGTCGAGAGGCCACCGCCGCCTAGGTTGGTGATGGCGTCGGACATGGCGGGACCGACGAAGGAGAGACTACATGTTCGACAGGAGTTACTTTCCATCATGTCCCCCCCCGCCTCTGACACTTGTGGAGCCTTGGACTTACGCTCCAAAAAGAATCATCTGGAACAGAACGCCTCGGTAGAACCTTGTGAATCCGGAGGCGCGCAGATAGCCGTCGTCAATCTCTTCGATTGGGCCTCCATCGTATACGTTACTGGTGCCGGCGGCGACATCCGACGTGCTGGAAATCCTTTTGGTGTCTTTTGAATCCGATGAGGTCGCCATGATGCAGAAAGGCGGCCGCAACTTGTTGCGGATGAAGAAACGGGACGGCAGGTCCACGGAGAGAGACCAGACTGTCAACCGGCATCGACGTGTATATAATCATGGGCAACCTAGTAAAGCCGACTTTGGTTGGCTTGTGCTGACCTGTCGAGAGCCATCCTCTGCGCGAGTCAGAAACGTCTGGGTGTAGCTGACATCCGTAATCTTACGTTGCATTCGCATGGCATGGGGTCGGGTCAGGGTTCCCCGGTTTATCTATGTACCAACCACTCCGAACTGTCAGATAGGGAAGATGAGCAACTCCACGCCTGTTTTGGAAACAGATCAGATGCTCAGCAGAAAGCTATCTAGTCCAAAAGCTGGACTGTTACCTACCTACATGACCGGGCCGGGCCCACTCTCTCGAACAGTATTGCTGTTCCTGATACTACTATCCGGATTGTCTGTATAGTCGGCATGGATGGGCAACGCAAAGCAACGCTTCCCCGGCAAACCACGGCGCCCTTCCCCCACACTCAACCGGCCCGGTCAGTCTCTTGACCACGTTTCTGTTCCTATCTTGGCGTCCATTACCATCCCCTCCCCAGTTACGTCAGCAGAGCCGATCCCGGTGAGAAGGACACGGCATAGAAACCTCGTTGACCCTTTTATTAATCGCGGGCGCAGCGGCTTTCTTTTGGGAAACCTCACTGATAACAGACAGCTAGTTTTGGCCCGGTTTAGAGCTCCAGAAACGAAGCCCCCCCCCCCCCCCCCTCGTATCGACGCAGTCATGTCGCCTTCCCCGCTCCCCGTCCCGAACTCCACGACCTCCTTTTGGAGGTCAACCCCGCACGCTCTGGACGATCACCGGTCGACCCCCGAGCTTCCGAGCCAAGTCGACATTGCAGTCATTGGCTCCGGCTATGCGGGGGTCTCGACCGTCTACCACATCCTGGACCAGTGCAAGGCTCGTGGGGTGCCGCCTCCCAAGATGGTGATTCTCGAAGCCCGGCAGGTGTGCTCTGGCGCCACGGGACGCAATGGTACGAACCCTCCAACTGGCATTCGAACCACCCTGAGATGACGGTTTCTGACCGTGAGTTCAAATATAGGTGGTCATCTCAAGCCTGACCCGTACAACCGTCCGGCAAGTCTCATCGCCACGCACGGCATCGAAGCCGCGACCGAGGTTGCCGAGTTCGAGGCCAACAACCTTCCGGCAGTGAAGAAGGTTGTCGAGGCCGAAGGGATTGACTGCGATTTCGTCCTCACCCGCGCCGTCGATGCCCTGATGTCCGAAGCCATTGCCAAGCGCATGAAGACCGGCGTCGATTTGCTCAGGAAGAATGGCGTGTCTGTAATGGACGATGTGTATTACGCAGAGGGGGCCGAAGCAGAACAAGTGGGTTCATCGCCGTCTGAGAACAAGACCAGATCGATGTGCGATGCTGGTGATGATGGTGGTTGCTAACCCCTGTATAGCTGTCTGGAGTGAAAGGAGCCAAGGCCTGCTTCTCATACAGCGCAGGTCACCTATGGCCGTATAAGCTCATCATCCACCTCCTATCCAAAGCCATCGATGCGGGCGTCAACCTGCAGACACACACACCTGTCAACAGAGTGACCGAGACCCCTGACAAGGAGGGTTATCTGACGCTATCCACCCCTCGGGGCAAGATCCGTGCCGCCAAGATCGTGTACGCGACCAACGCCTACACGTCATCCCTGCTGCCCGAGTTCGTCGACAAGATTGTGCCTGTGCGCGGAATCTGCAGCCACATCACGCCGAGCAAAAAGCCCAGTCCTCTGCTGCCCCACTCGTACATCATCAGGTGGTCCGACACCGAGTACGAGTATCTGATCCCCAAGCTGGATGGCAGTATCGTGGTCGGAGGTGCGCGGTCCAAGTACTACCACGACCTGCCCTCCTGGTACAACAACGTCAACGACGATCAGCTGATAGAGTCTGCGAAGACGCACTTTGACGGATACATGCAGCGCGTGTTCCACGGCTGGGAAGACAGCGGCGCGACCACGTCCGAGGTGTGGACCGGAAGTGAGTGCAACATATCATCACCCCAACACCCCAGGCGAGAGATCAATGCGGAGAGGCTAACCGTGAGCCAGTCATGGGCTACTCTTCTGATGGGCTGCCGCATATTGGTGCCGTGCCTGGGAGGCAGAACCAGTTCATCCTCGCCGGGTTCACCGGGCACGGCATGCCGCAGATCTTCCTGTCGGCGAAGGGGGTGGCGTCGATGATCATGGAGCAAAAGAGTTACAAGAGCACAGGGATCCCGAGCATCTACGAGGCTACACAAGAAAGGCTGAGCAGCTCCGTGAACACGATCCTCGCGAGCTGGGAGGCAGCCCAGAGCACCGGGTCCAAAGCACCGGGACCAAAGCTGTAGTATGGTAGCTGTAACTGGCGACGAAGAGGCGAGTGACCCACAGGTTTCGCACAGACGAAATCAGTATAGTGTACGATTCGCTATGTATTGCAAGGCCGTTGTGCTTACTATCGCCCGGGAGCTGGAAAGATGTCCACGATGTTGGTGATATGGATGGCCTAGGTGTTTGTGCCAGGATTGGAGTGGGCTATATCGCTTGTTGTATTGTCCAGGGAGTCAGCAGAGGTGCCACGTTGGATGGAGTGCCTGTACCGAGTGATTAATAGTAGTTGCAGCAGTGCTGCGGCTCAAAACATTTTACTGCTGACTGAAACAAGATTCATGGTCCCCAACGAGAAACCCACGACGTTGGTGACGATACGCATACTGTAACACCTAGCCTATAGGTCTATCTTAAAGAACGGGAAAAAGGTAGAATGCAGGTTGCTTGGCCACACTCGTTGGATGTGAGAAATATCTATTTATTACCTAGTACGAACGGTTTAGGACACTCTCCAGACTTCCGCTCGCACCTAGCTCTGAACAGCGGGTAGTGTCTGTATCCAAAGGCGCCCCAAGCATACTCTTCTATAGGTTTAGCGACGTTCCTGCGCATGTCAACGGTACTTTATACACTTATCGTATACCCGGGTCTCCAAATGCAGTTATTATTACCTGTGGAAAGCGTTTTAGTCTCTTAAACCATAGCTAGCGATATCACGTATCAACGCCATCCAATTGAGATGAGAAGGAGAATGTTCTATCGAGACGCCGTCGATGGCATTCCGCCACGGGAATGTGTCGATGGCTGCAATGCAAGATATCTCGGAACAAGATGCATGGCGGAGACAAGCTACGAACCTTTGTAAGAACGGAAGGGCGGCAACGTTACCTTTCCGAGGAGCCGATATCTTATCTTTTGTCTAAACCCGCATTTGATAAGCTGCCTACAGCAGTTGGGATTTCCACCTCCCATTTGCGTCGCCCATCTCGTATTAACCGGGTAGCGAATCCAGGCGGGAGCCAGCCACCGGCTGTTGGTATCTTTTGCAAACGGACCGATACTGGTGCAAGGCACATACCTCAAAAGGGAAAGTTGAGGCCAATGAGATGTCGAACATCGCCAACAAGGACCATTGGACAGAGAAAGCGGTTGTTAGATGGTTAGGCTGCCTTTTGTAATAACGCTTCATTGACATGAAATGCATGGGAGGGGATGCGGCACGCATAACACGAAGATGGTTTGAGCTTTTTACACCTCAGTTTCTGTGAAGCCCTTGGTTCAAACTGATGATTGCGTAGCAACCATGACAGATGGCGTTTACCATTCGAAGCTTGATTGCATGCTATCACGGCTATTTTAAACCCCTTTTATATACAAAGATAATCGGGTTCCTCACCTCTAGTATCTAGAGTACCGGGGCTGGCTGAGTTTCAATGAACAGTCTGGGACTGTCGAATCGGGGGGGGTTATTATCTCGGCCGAACTCCAACCCGAGATAACAATGATGGGTCGCAACGGTGAGCTCGAGAGGGTTATCCGACTAACGCATGCATCAAGGTTTCCCTTAGAGTTCCCCCTTTTGGCCTAGCCAAATTACATGGCGAGCACCGGGCCGGTGCCTCGAACTGAGTCCACTCGCACTGTCCGTGAACCTTGTCCGCGCAGAGGAGCCGATGCGGAGTCCAAAACAATGCTGATACGTTCGTGGTGGCAACCCGGCGGAAGGGTTTCCCCGATAGCGAACCGGGAACAGCGCCGGAGGATTGTCGACGAACCCACCGGCACTTTAATGGAAGTGCGGGGAGACGACGAAAGAAGTGCCGCAAAAAAGAAGGCGAATGACGGGTTTGCGGGGTGACAGGCCTCGTATTTAAGCTGCATCGTCTTGCTGATGGAGATAACCCTAAGCCAAAAAAGCACCCCCCCGTGATCCGTCTAGTCATCCGTCAACCATCACCTACCCTATTTTGCATCTCATTCCCCACTCCTTCGCCATGGTTTCCAACAAGAATGTCGTCTTTGACGTGGTCGGCACGCTAGTCTCGTACGAGTACATCTTCGAGGCCATCGACCAACGGCTCGGCGAGAAGCTCCGGGCCCAGGGCATCAAGCCCAGGCTCCTCGGGTGGTGCTGGCTGGAGGTGGCCGAGCGCGAGTTCACTTACCTCGCCATATCGGGGCGCTACGCAGTATTCAACACCGTCTTCGCGGGCCTGTTCTATCGGTGCCTGCACTACGCCGGCATCGAGGAGCCTCGGTCGTTTGCGAGCGAGGAAGACGTGGCCTGGCTGGTGGCCGAGTACAAGAACCTTTACTTGCGAGACGGGGCCGCCGAGTGCATCGCCAAGCTTCGGGCTGCCGGCTTCACCGTCTGGTGCTTCACGACCGGGGACGCCGCCCGCGTGGGAGGCTACTTTGCCCGGGGCGGGGTCGACTTGCCGGCCGAGAACCTGATTTCGTGCGACTCTCTGGGGCTGGCCAAGCCGAACCCGGAGGCGTATGCCCCGATTCTCGCAAAGCTATCCGGCGGCGGCGGCAAGCCCTGGTTCGCGGCGGCGCATTTGTGGGATGCGTCAGCGGCAAAGACGTACGGGTGGGTATCCCTTCCGAGACACGAACCCTTGCTGTGCCTGGGTAACGAACTAACCCGTTCCAGGTTCAAAGCGGCATACTGCACTGCCATGGAAGGCGAGGAGCTACCCGAAATCTTCGGAGAGGTGGATGTAGTAGCAGATACACTGCCCGCGATGGCGGACAAGCTCATCGCCGCTTCTGAGAAGTAGGGCACGATTGGGAATGGGCATTGGTGCATTAGGGAGGCGAACCTTGTTTGCACGGCGAATCGGACCAGTGTTAATCTTTAGTAACGGTTTTGTGCATTGATATCTCCAATATAGCCACTTCTGGGTTTTTTCAAGTCGAAAGATCACGAGGCAATGCAGCGTCTGTCTCGTCGTTTCTCCAAAATCTCGTCGAAACAGAGGCGGTAGGCCCGTTTTCAACGTACGTGAAGGCCGCCAGAGGTGCCGCGGCTGCGCGGATGATCGCTGATAGAATCGGGACGGGAGCCAGAACCCGAACCAATAGTTAGACCGAAGCGGCCAAGCACCTCCGACGCGCGACGGGCGCGTTAACGATTACGTGATGAGGTTGATGTAGGGGCACATAGGCAACGTACGACGACGCATAAAACCTTGCAGTGATTATAAGGCCAGACGAGGAACACAGGGCTCAGAGGGACAAAGCTGGCAGAGGATGTCGGTCTGCATTTGTATTCATCAAGCAAAGCTATCTTCATGCACGTATTTGTCACATGTGATAAGTATAATCTTGTGAAAAAGCTGGTAATCTGTGCACGAGGGAGGGGATGGAGAGGATGTAGAGAGCGAGGGGCTTTCCATTCGTATTATATGCACTGTTGGAAGGACTCTAGATGGGCTGATGCATCAAACAGAAGGGCTGCAAAAGGCATGGATTTTCTAAGTCTAGTTGGTCTGGCTGACTGGAAAGTGACCAGTTATGTAGACTTCTGTCACGTAAAAACCATACCGTTAGTTACGTGGGCAGTATTAACTAAAACTTATATCTCGTGACAACTTCTGTGGCTGCTGACTCGTGCTTATGAATCGCTGGAAACGCTATTCCAACAATGCACCAAATTTACTGAGAAGGAATGTGAAGAAAACAAAATAGAGGCCGTTCCCGAGATGGGGAAAGGGCATGTGACCGATCTCTGGATAGCCTTCCGCCAACTCGAGCTTAAAACTACATGTAGACTCGAGCAACCTGTCTGAAGCAGTCGGGGGGCCATACATTCACATGGTCGTTTGTGGCTAGACGGCACTTAAGCTGCGATCTTGGGCTCCTGGAACTGCTCGGAGATGTCGTCGGGAGAATCAAAGGCTAGAGATACACTAGGAAAGGCGCGTCAGTTAGCAGTAGTGACAGAGATGAGAGAAAAGGGGTAGCGGGAAAAAGTTGTCGTCGTCGCTCAGGGACGTGAGGTTGAACCGGGTCCCGTCCGGAAGCCCCAGCTCCTGTGGCCGGCCGCAGCCGGCGGGGGCCTCGTCATCACCACCTTGCACATCGCGCTTGCGGTTGAAGTTGCCCCAGCTGGCGCCTGTGTAAGGAGGCTCTTGGACGAAGCAGACAGAGCCGCCGCCCGTTGTAGACGCGCAACTCCCAGTCGCGTGACCTGTCGAGGTTGACGAAGTCGACGGACACGAACCGCCGTAAGGGGAAGTTGGGATCGCAGCATGTGCTGCGAGTCCAGTTGACGCACGTGAAGTAGGGGCCATTGCAGTTGGTGCTTGTGTAGAGGTTGATGTGCAGCGCCGCGGCGCCGTTGGCGCAGGCGGTCGCGAGGAGGGTGGGAGGGGAGTCAGTGATCAAGTTGTGGATGAGTGATAGCAATGGGTTACCTGGCCAGTTGATCGCAGGACAGGAACTGGCTTTTATAGACTTGCTCTTGGATGCTCTAGGTCTAACTGCGACCAACTCAAGCTCGCTTGGTTGCCTTACAATAGGACTCAAGGCGAGGCCATCATCTTGCTGCGCCAGTCAGAATTTTGTAAAGCGTTTCATTGTAAGCAACATACTTATGGTGTAGCTATCATCCTATTTTCACTCCTATCCAAACTAATATGCCCATGAGCCCAGTGCTGATTCTTGGTTGACGTGTAAGATAGATCCCAGGCAGTAAGGGTCCTTCACGATGTTGGCCCAAATAGAACCAATCAGGTTAACATAGAGAGACTGCCAACAATATAGACAATTAGCGCTGACATGTATGTAAGCACTAACGAGTCTGTCTGGCTGACAAAATACTCAAGGGGCGCCACTGAATCCCTATGAGTTAGAGGTTCTGCAGCTATAGAGACTATGGGAACCAATTGGAAATACATGGTGATGTTGTTGAAGTGCGTATATACGAGTCGCAACAATCCTTGTTCAGACGTGATGTGTAACTGTCTGGCCTATGGTATATATGATTCATGACTATGCATCTTGCTTACTTGGTGGGGGGGGTTACTGGCAATGCGTTCCCCAAGCGGACGGAATACGCGTACCATTAGGATTTTCCTTGTTTACAGTACTAGGTGAAAAGCCTGGCTACAGCACCAAGGATATACTCACTATCATCTGCCTTGGGCTATAACAACACGCGTTCGCGAGCCATTATACAGGTATTTTCATCACGGCCTTACCACATTACCCTCGAGGAGTATCCCGCTGTGCTCCGACGAGGTGATCAAGGCTAGTAGTACTAGTTGCCGATTGGTTCAATGTTTTTCGGTAGCCAGATATTTGACCTAATCCTGTAAACAAGGAAAACCCATCTAAGATATAGTGCTGACATTTCCCTAGCGGCATTACCTATTGTGGCATATTAGCCCATAGGACATGTAACAGATAATAGTATCTTACCCCTATGCTCTGGGAACGTAGGTTAATTAGCCCACTCATTGACCAGGCTTCAACACAAGCTGACAAGCCTGGAAGAAGGAAAAAAATCCGGTAAGGGGTGCGTCGCTTCCAGAAGACAGGGTGTCGGTCTCATTTTATCCCTTCATCCGGACGGTATTAGTCTAGATTCGGTACAGATCCGGCAAGCCACCGTCGATATGCCGGTAGTAGATGAAAAAGCGCCTTCCTAGATCACACGGCCGTAGCCTATGAGATCCCGCCCAGGTCTTCGGCTATTATTGATGGACATGGGTTGTGGTGGAAACCGATCCTTGGCAGTGGTTCCCGCCATCCACGTGCCGCCACGGAACGCGGAGACCGATACTCTTTAAGGTTATTTGCTCGAGTGGCGGCAGGGGTGTATGTCAGATCTCCAATTAGTGAACACAGGGAGGGAGGGCGTCGTCGCCACCAGCGGCTCATGATCAATGTCGTGCTGGGATTTTAGCCGACGGCCGCTTCTGGCCTCGTTGATGCCAAGATGCGAATGTACGCAAGTCGCCAAATTCCTTTTTGCGACATTAGCCTGTAGATGGTCCATGGTACAGCCTAAATCAAATACGGCTGACTGCCCGGAGAATTTCCATCAATCTCGTAAACGTCATGGTGGTAGTTGGATTAGTTGCTCCAGAGGCGGTAACCGTGACATGTGTGCTGTCTGGCAACTTACATATATAGCGGCACAGTGATCGCAACCCAGAACTGTGATTGCCACCGCATCAACCAAGATCTTGTCTATACTGGACCGCTACTAAATCCTTGTTCCCGTCACCATGGTTTCGTTCAAGTTTCTCCTCCTCGCGACGGCGGCTGTGACTGCCGTCCTCGGACGCCCCTTTGACTTCCTTGACGAGGTGGACGATGGCAACTCAACCGAGGTTCTCGAGAGGCGCCAGGTCACGCCAAACAGCGAGGGCACGCACAACGGCTACTTCTACTCGTTCTGGTCCGATGGAGGCGGTCGTGTCCAATACACCATGGGCGCGGGCAGCCGTTACTCGGTGAGCTGGAGCAACGTCGGCAACTTTGTGGGTGGCAAGGGTTGGAACCCTGGCAATGGCCGGTAAGAGAATCCATCGTCAGCGATGTACAAGTCAAATGTGTATGCTGAAACTGTCGTGAAAGTACCATCAACTACGGCGGCTCCTTCAGCCCCAACGGTAACGGTTACCTGGCCGTCTACGGCTGGACTCGCAACCCTCTGGTCGAGTACTACGTGGTCGAATCCTACGGTACCTACAACCCCAGCAGCGGAGGTCAGTACAAGGGCACCGTCACGACCGACGGCGGCACCTACGACGTCTACGTCTCTACCCGCTACAACCAGCCTTCCATCGACGGCACAAGGACCTTTCAGCAGTACTGGTCTGTGCGCCAAGGCAAACGTGTGGGAGGCTCCGTCAACATGCAGAACCACTTCAACGCCTGGGCTAGGTATGGCTTGAACCTCGGCACGCACTACTACCAGATCGTGGCCACCGAGGGCTACCAGAGCAGCGGCTCCTCCGACATCTACGTTCAGACCTCGTGGTAAGTTAGCCAGCCCACAGGCGTTTTGATCGTCGCTGACCCCAGTATCAGAGCTACCCGTTGGCGGTTGAGGCAGCGCATGCTAGGCATCTTATGAGACCTGGATATGGCGTTGCAGCGGTCGAGACGATTGATTGTACTTGTAACTTCTGTTCTGCCGCTCTTACTATTCACCGGTTTCCTTTCTTTCACCCTCCTATCCCATCTTGAGAGCGTGTCTATAGGCCTGAGGGGAATCTGCTACATCAAATGGCGGCACAGGATTTTTTTCAGGCTGGATAAGAAGCAATAAAGCCCAGTCATTTATATAAATTTGGCTTTGACAAATATTCCCGTGAGAGGAAACTAATGTCTGTGAGTGTTTTCTGTCGTGGCCGGGGCTCAGTGCCGGCTCTTAAGGCAAGCTACGATGCTGTTCGACATAAGTCGTAAACCTGCAATGATGGCATTTTCTTGGGAGATTTTCTATGTGTATGATCAAGATTCGTCTGATATCGGCTGTCCGCAGCCCCCTTCCGTAACAACTGCGCATTCCGGTTCGGCATAAAACATCAACGTGCTTCCTCTGACGGAGCTACCACTACCTCCAGTCCTAAGGAAGATAACGATCTAACGTGCTCTTCATGGTTTTCTTCCAGTCGTTATCCCCCTTTTTTACGTGTGAGTGCTAGACGACGAGGCGGATGGTAGGCCAGATCAGCATACGCTTTTGTTGCTACGCCCAAAACCGGCTACAACCGCTCGATCTCGAGTATTAAATTTACTCGACCGGGAACTCGAACTCCTGATCCTGTTCACGAGGGTCAGCTGCTGTAGGCGGTCATTTCCTGGGTGTGTACAACCGTGTCTACCTGCATTAGAAGTTATGTAATGAGACTTGGTTGGTCCTGACGACCTATGCGCCATGTCTTCTTCCCTTGCCATTGGTTTAATAAGTTAAGACAGGGTCAAGGATTTATCCGGGAAAGTATTGTTGCATAGCTGCCTGTTGCCAACCCGTTAGTCGCTGCCATGCCCTCCCGATCTCTAGGCAAGGGGCTGTGCTGCCGCCTGAAACCGAGATTGGGGGTAGTTTGGACATTCATGCTCTCCTCGGCCGGACTGCGTAGCACAGGACCCAAACGATAGGTGGGCTACTTTGCGCAGCTAATTACATGCAGATATTTGATGTACACTAGGCTACGTCTTCTAAACATGGTCCCGCTGTGAATGCTCTTGGGTAGACTGATGAAGTTGGTTGATGTTATTTATTGTTTTTTCTTTCTTTTCTTTTTCTTTCTGTTTCTTTTTGCTATGTTGTTTGTTTGTCTTTCATTCCAACTTAACGCCTCATGTACTTGACAAATGTTACCCATCTATAAAACAACAAGGCGCAAAGTGTTACCTGGCATTCCAGTTCTGTCACTTCTTGGAAGGGCATCGAGCGTTGAGCTTCCGATCTTCATCGAATTCAAAAATTTCATCATACTTCATTGACTGAATGGCCAGCAATACATTCGCTTGGCCTCGTTAACTCATTCGTGCCAGGACCGGGTTGGTAGGAGTTGGGAATGACGGAGCGGCTGGCGGGTTGGCGACATCGACTTCGGCGTCATCGAAAGCAAATCACTCATCATCCCCAACGTCGCGGAGAAATCTCTTTCTACCCTTTCTAGGCTTGCCTGGCCTCTTGGGCCCGGATCCCTCCCTCGCTGGCTTTTGTGTTGGAGTGGTTGGGCGGCGGGTGGGGGTTGCTGTTGGACGGCGGGTAGAGGTTGGTCTTGACGATGTGGTTGATCGGGGGGGAGTTGACGTGAAAACCGGATCGGCAGGCGGATTGTGGATGTCGATATTGGGGCCGTCGACAATAGGTTCCGTGTCCCCAAGGGCGCGGGCGGCTTTGACCGCACGGGACGACTCGTCCGTAGGGTTCGCGGCACATGTGGCGGCATCAGGCTCGGCCGTCAGGTTGGCGTAAAAGTCGGGGCTGAAAGCAGCGTCCAGAGAAGCCTGGAAGTTGGCATCTTGGAACGGGCACCGCGCGAGCTCGTACACGAAGCCGTTGAACTGATCCACGGCTGGTTGCGGCAGCTTGGTCCAGCTCACAAGGGGCATGTCGAGGCCGTCGGTGACATTCTTGTATGACGGAAACACGGACGTCTGGGCTCGGTATCCCACCACGGGGTGTGTGCTAGAGACATCGTCTGCCGCGAAGAGCGTGGGTTGGTCGAAGCGTTTGCTGTATGCGTCTTCCCCGAGGGAATAGCTTACGCCCGCAACTGTGAAGTCGGCCGCTGTGGCATTGCACTCCTCGGTGTGAAGCCAGACTACGGAGCTCAAATACCAATGCCTGGAGGAGGGGTTGTCGACGCTCATTGTCATCATCTTGGGCAGATACCATGCGTAAAGCACCGCCATGCGACCGTTGGAGTATCCCACTCTTGAGTAGACCTGGCCCGTGGAGGAGCCTCGACAGTCACCGTCCTCAGTTCCAGTTGGTTTCAGTCCACCACTAGTAGTCCATTGTTAGTTACAGCCCGGCGCGCCGTGTGGTTTGGCGTGTTCACTATGCACTTACCTGTGGAAGCCCTCTGCGTCGACAGCGGGATATGGGAGACAGCCCCGCACGTCGTTAAGTGCGGGCTTGAACTGCAGTTGAAGCTGTCCGGGCAGTCCGTCTGCGGCCTGCTGCGCAAAGGGCGCGATTGCGTCGTGGTCCTTCACTTTGCCCTCAAACGCATCGTCGTCCCGTTGAGAGAGTGTACGGCCTGCTGCGGATGCAACCAGGCCAAGGGAAAAGAGCGTCAAAAACGAGCGGCAAAACATTGTGGCTAGTTAAATACAAAAAGAAACGAAGGTATAGGTTACGACCAGTAAAGAATGACGGATCAGCTTCGAAGAGCGCCTGAGGAAGGGTGAAGACAATAAACATAGGGCCGATGCCGTAGTAGTACATACATTGTATATAACTTCTGCGCCATGCATACGCAGACAAAGCTACGGAGCGGAGCAAGTCCGGCGGCGCCGATGACTTTGTTTGGTCCCATTGAGGCTATCCAAATCGTTAACAGCATAATTACTTGCAGGCAAGCAGAACGAACACCTTGGAAATCTCCCTTGACTATTTCAGCCCGTACATCCCCTCTTCGCTTCAACGTCGGACTCGTTGACTCGAGTCTGTTTCTGTACCTAGTAGGGCCACAGAAATCGGGGTTCTGCATGGGAGGCGCAGCCTGCATTACTGCCTCACCCCTGCACAGTTCCAATCAGATCGCAACATCGTCAATCGGTTCGTCCGAACGCAAGGCTCACAGGCCACCACGGGCCGCAGCTGATCGTCCAGTCGGACATGAGCGAACGGGGCAGTTGATCAATGTCCATGATCTAGGCTTGATGGCAGTGTCTATGTCTATGATGCGTGCAGAGTATTAGGGCTGTCTGAGCGATCAGAGCGATCAGACAAGCTGATAATGCCCCCCCCTGACAGCCCGAGAGTACCGTGCGCGCTGGCCCGTGCAGGCTTGAGTTGACAATAGATATAGTTATAGCTAATAGATAAGAGTATAGATAGAGAGGAAAAGTGGAAACAGAGGGAAAAAACGGAGGGAAAAAGTGGAAATAGAGGCAAAAAATAGAGGCAACAAAAAGGGATAGTCTTGGCCCATCCCGACCCAGAGCGTAGCGGAGGAAGCAGGGTGGGATAGACCATTCTAACACTCCCTAGCAGAGCCGTTTTAGAATTACCTAAAGAAAAAAATCAGAATGAAAGAAAAAGTCAGAAAAAGCTAGGGTTAAACCTATCCCTTTAAATGCCACATGACCTCACATAACCGCAGACTAATAAGACTACCTACAGTAATCCAGGCTAAGTATCTGATAGCTGTTGGTAATTACTTACAGAGACCCAATTTTAGGTTATGTGAGGTTATGTGGCATTTAAAGAGATAGCCTTTAGATTATTAGGAGAAGCACTACTATGTACTTGCTGCTAGACTATGTGGAGCAAGAAGAACAAAAATTCCTGTTTAATCTGAAACTATAGACCTTTTTGACGTGTGTGTGCGTATCTATTGGTTAGAACCCAATTACCTACTCCACTGTCAGCTTAACCCTATCGGTTATCGCGCATGGTACTCTTGGGTTGTCAGGGGGGGGGGGCATTATCAGCTTGTCTGATCGCTCCCTATCACCTACTCCACTGTCAGGTTAACCCTATCGGTTATCGTGCATGGTACTCTCGGGTTGTCAGGGGTCAAGGGGGGCATTATCAGCTTGTCTATAGACTCGGGCTGTCTACAGTTACCTGCCTACTATGGTATCGGGCCAAAGTTTAACCCCCTCGTCAGGTAAATGTGGCCGTGCTTTTTTTGATTATCTCTGCAACGGTACTTTGAGGTTCTTGTGCACATCTATCATAATTCTGGCCAGTGAGAGTCTCTCATACGTGGGTCACAACTCCACACTACCTACCTGTTGTGGAGTTTAAACTTACCCATCATACCATAGTACACCTTAATCCTCTCCCCACCTTACTATCTCTTATCACTGTAACGTCGGAAGAGCCCCTTGCAGATATCCCGAGATTGACATCAGACAGACACGATGTGCCATCTCGGAACATCCAGAGAACTTGATGATGCACCTACCTTAGCCACTGAATAGCCCTTTAACTCTCCGAGCACTTGACAGCACGGCACAATTTGATTGAATCCTGGATCTGCTGGAAGACTCAACAGGGGGGCACAAGGTGGCAGGTAGCTCTAGCCTCTATGATAATCGTGTTTGTAATGTGGAAGTCTAGCTACTCAGGCCTTTGCAGAGAACGTCGGCGTTGAATGAAACAACAACATGATTAGCATCAACATTGGGAGCCTAGTCCTGGTGGCTGTGGCCTTGTCCCGCACGGCCATGGTAATCAATCTAAACGATGATCTCTGTTTCGATCAATTAATTCTCCTTTATACTGCTTGGGCATCAGAATGAACCCAGCGTCCGGTAAAAACAAAGAACACCGCCATTTCTCAAAGGCACCTCACCCAAGTTTGCAGTACTAACGGTGTATTTTGAAACCTTAAGACCCACGTAGATTTCTCCGGGTGGAATGTGCGTTAATTCTGCCTACTGTAGGGTCGAGCTCCCCGCTCGGGTCGCATGAACACGATTCATGAAGCCGCTGGGCTATGCCTTGCTTGATTGACGATCTTGTAAGAATCCGGCATAACTGCCACCGGCCATGCCGTAGAGTGTTTTGACCACTATTGAGTTGAGAGTATATCCCTTTAGTTGCCACCGGACCTCATTAACCCCTTATGCGGGGTAGGGCGAATCAGAGCATGGCATTTAACGCCAAAAGCCAATAGTTTCAAGATACTTCTAATTATACAGCGTTTTGCCTATGCTAAAGGTACTAGTAGTCTCTACCTTTATAAAGAGGTATATTACAGTCTAAGCAGCCCTACTAGGTCTTCTACTATAGTAAAATATTACTAGATATCTACCTAAGAGTATTTTATTACTATATACTACTCTAGGAGTAAGATAAAGCCTTCTTATATAATTCTTACTAGTAATTTAATAATTAAAGTAAGGTAGTCTACTTATATAACTATTACTAATAGTATAAAGTCTAGTAATCTTTTACTAATACTTTAAACTACTAAATAAGCTAAAAAGAAAGTAGTTACTACTATTAGTATTAGTTTATAATTTCTTATAAAATAAATACTTAGTTAATAACTAACTAGTGTTATAACCTAACAAGTTACAGGCTATGTTGCCCTACCTAACAAGCAGACAATAGGCAGCAGCAGTATTTATATAAACAAGAGATAAAAGACAGACAGATAACTCCCTAGGAACAAAAGAACTATAGTATAGGTTATATAAAGATAAAGAAGTAATTATATAATAAGGTAATTACTAGTAATTATAAAAGTAAGCGCTTACTAGTATCTACTAAGCGCTTACCTTATATAAGAATAGTAATTACTTATAACTATTAGTTAATAGGACTATTTAGGGAACAGCTAGGACTTATATATAAGATAAACTTAGATATACTTAAGGACAGACTTCTATAGCTCTTTAGTAATTAACTTATAATATATTCTTTAAATACCTTTTAGTATCTAACTTTAGTAATTTAATTCATAAGAGCTATATAAGCTACCCTTATAACTATTAACTATATAACTAATTACTAGGTAATTAATAGACTAGTAAGATAATAATTACTATTACTAAGTATCTCCCTCTACTTACTATTAGTAAAAACCTTACTACTTAGAAACTAACTATAACACTTTAATTACTTCTGTTAAGTAAGTTAACCTTAATACTTACCTAATAGTATTCTATAATATTTATACCTAAGATAACCCTAACTTCCTCTAGCTTTAGAAAAAACCTAACTACCCTAGCTAGGAGCCTAGATAAAGAAATAAAAGACACTAAAAAATTAGATAATAAGCTAGACTTTACTTAAGGTATATATAATAAAATCTAGTAGTATATTAAACGTAATAATAATAATATAGCTTAAATATAAGCTATAATTAATAATATTAGTAAAAAACTAGACACTAAAACCCTTAAAGTTAGCTAGCTATAGAATATAGTCTATAATACTATTACTTAGCTAAAAAACAAAATAGCTAAAGCTAAAAGACTAAATAAAAAAGTAACTACCCTTAGGGGCGTAATAAATATTATTACTACTTTAGTTAATAAATATAATAAGCTTAAACTTAACTTACCTAAAACTTATAATAAGACTAATAAATAGCTAAAAAGATTCCTAATTTAAGTTTATACTTATTAGACCTTTTATACTACTAACTTTAAAAGTAAGACTAAATAAGTTATCTATATAAGAACTTTTTTATAAGAAAAAGCGCTCTCTTAGTATAAACCCTATTTAAAAGAATTTCTTAAGTATAATAGTAACCTTACTATATACTCCTATAAGATATAAAATATCTTTAGAAGTATAACTAGCTTTATAAAGGCCTTATAGTTACTATTTTAAGATCTTAATAAGAAGTAATAAGCTAAGTAAGACTTAGCTAGCCTATAATAAACTAAGTTAGCCTCTTACTATATAGCTAAATTCTAATAACTAGCTACTTAACTTAATATTACTTAAGAATTACTAATCTTTATTTTTTACTAAGGACTTAAAGATAACGTTAAGGATAAACTTATTAAGATTATTAACCTACTTAAGGACTTCTTATCTTATATTAAACTTACTATTAAAATTAATATATAACTCTTTAAATAACATAAGGAATAAGGAGAAACTTAATAACTTAGTACTAATATAGGTAAGAAGTATACCTAAGGGCCTAAATAGCTACACTAGTAGAATAAAAGATAAAACACCTAGTAGTAAGTATGTAATAACTACTAAAGTACTACTTATAGATAACATATAGGACCTATAGACGTTAGTATTACTAAGAAATAAGACTAGTAACTAGTATAAGATATTAGTATTATTAAATACTATAATTATAAAAAAATAGAACACTTTATATAAGACTATAAATAGCTAAAGAGGCTATAGTATAAAACCTTACTTAAGCATACTAAAAAGGCTAGTGTAGCTTAGAAGGAGACCCCTTATAAATAACTCTTATAGACTGCTTACTATAATAATAACTACCTAACCTATAGGGATAGTAAAGAATAAGCAGGATAGTACCTAAAGAAACCTAAAGGCACTAAGGCAGCCTAATAGAAATAATTTATAATAATTAATATATATAAATTCTATAACTAAGTTAAGGTTAAAGAAACTATAGAAACTATTAAGAATATACTAT